AAATCACTATGAATTTCAAAACATTTTAGTGTGTTAGCTTCAGATAAATAATATACTTTTTATTCCATTGACAAAGATGTCTAAATCCAAACTTGTTTTAATCATTACCCCTCACCTAGTGGGAAACAATTCATTTTGGTTTTGTGTTTGGGCATAGCAGTTACATTGCAAATATGATCACATATAAAAAACTGGAAACATTATTAAGACTACTATTATGACTACTTAATTTAATTGACTCAGTAATTTTGACTGACCTTATAACCACTGTGTAAACCATAAACTATACATACTTAAACTCTGAATGCACAGGGTTCATCTTCATGAAATTTCTCAGGCTTTTAGTAAATATTCCAATTCTGTTGTACACAAAATAGCAGATTATTTAATAAAGTATTTTCATTAATATTTCTCTGTGAATTTATGAAGCCTTTACTGAATCAATCTGAGTGAAAGGTGATTTTCATGTTAAGAGTAAAAATACTTCTTTTCATCTTATAGTTCTTATATTTCATTTGCACAACCTATAGAACCACCTAAATGAATATCATAAGTTTTCTTCAATAAAACTTTATAATTTATCTTCTATACTTTAATAACTGTCGTAAAATCATTTGTAACAAAAGTAGAAAAAAAAATTGAAAATCCAAATTACTTTTTTCACAGACTGTAACATAGAATTACTATTATTTATCAGAAACGTTTTAGACTTCTTATCTTTTCATAACTGCTCATATTTAATTTTATTCTTTTATTGCCCTTTGAACCATGTCTAATTACTGCAACAAGCAGTAAATAACCCAGTAGGAGTGTGAAGAGTTTAGGGTAAACAAAGTTTGAGTTTAAATCACATTACGTCTAACCTAGTAAGTTTAAAATAATAGATAAATAACACACACACAATTAGAATTGATACACAGTTAAACATTTTTGAAATTCAGGCCAATCTATGGACTCTACAAGTTTTGATGTTTACGTCATCATCAGGAGTGAATTTGCTAGGCATGCCATACTTATTCCTTATTAACTAGGTCATATGACCTGTGTGTAAGCTTACATTTCTGCATAAATCTCAGAAAAAGTCCCATCACATTCTTACACAGATATTTGTTGGACAAGTGTCTCTTTTTAATAAATAATGATATCTTTTAAATTTTATTATTATTTCTAAAGATTCACAGATATTATTGGCTCTAATAACCTTTGAAGCCAATAATATCAGCAAATCTTGTTTATTATTTTAACATTGTACACAAATGCCGAGAAAATAAGTTTAATTTTTATTTTAATCACTTTTGTTAAAAAATATATAACGAAAAAATACACATAAAAAAAGGAAATTAAAGCTACCTTAGTCCTAGGCCAGTTTGCAGTCAGGTGCTTGTTTTTCTAACCATATTTTGTTCATTCTGTGTTTGTTGTCCAAAACATAATTCATGTAGTTTTCAAGTTTGAATTTTAGAAAACAAAAAGTATATCACTCACTAAATTAGATTGTATAAAAACTACTGTCATTTCTTTAGCTTTTAAGCTAACTGATAAATAGGTTACAAAATTTCATTACTTATCAGATCAACTTCTTCAATCTAAAGGTATCGAGCTCTGATGGAAAATTATTGAATTTAGAGCTTGAATAAAACACGCTATCACATGCTTGGAATTGTAGATCTATATTATGGCTTAGCAAAATCTATGCTGTGAGTGTGTAGTTTGTAACAAACTCAGAAAATTATATACATGTAAAAAGAAAATCTAAAATGGTTAATTCAGAGCAAAGAAGCTTCACACAATACAGTAAAGATTGATAATTTATTTTAACATTTCCCTTTGAAATTAAAAAATCATAACTTATATTAATATCAAAATATAAATTATAAACTACATTCTGATGCTAAGTTTATTGACATACATTGATAATAAAGTTGCTTAGTTAAATTTTAAATGTAACTCTGTAAAAACATTATGAAATCCACCCTTTCACCCACCCAGATCCAGAGAATTAATGTAAAAGTTTTCAAGTTCTCTTACCTGATGATCAAAATTATAGGAATCATCATATTTGTATTTGTTGATGATTATATGAAGCAGTGCCTGAAAAAAATCCACAGGAATTTTTGAAGCTTACAGTGATTTACAATATTATTAAAATTTTTTATATCTTTTAGTTTAAAATAACAAAAAATATACACTGATACTGACATAGCATTAATTAAGCATGTAAATACACATTTCTGTAAACAAACTTTGAAAACTTAATTACATTTTGAATGATTTAAAATTAAACCACTCAACTGCAAAATCATCCCAGGTATTATTAACTGGCTGTTGTATTTAGTAATCTTAATACTGTAGTGGGTGTAACATGTCGATGTATTTACTTCAAAAATAATAAAAACAACGTTCACAAAGCTAAGCGTTTGAATAGAAGTCATTGGTGGAGTTAAATTCCATGTTTACTTATAAAAAAAAATCTTTATTCATCATGAGTGTTAGACTAATATTGTAAATAATTTATTTAAAACCAAATAAAATGTTTTCATTAATGAAAAGTTTATATTTACATGGAAACACAAACAAACAAAAGTTAGAACATATATATGATTTAACTTTATTTAAATGCATGCAAATATATTCTACACTACCAATTCTATTTTTATACTTACTTCAGCATTAGATTTTTCTGAGGCATTATAAGCTCCTACACTAGATTGCTGCTTCAAGAATTGTATGAATTCTCTAGCAAAATCACAAACTCCTAGAGACACATCATCATCTTCATTGTTTAAAAACTGTAGCAGAAGAGGAACCTTATTTTCAACAGCTTTTAGAGTGATAGCTAACTGCTCAGGATCAGGCATAACCATTCTACTCAACCTGTAAAACTCAATAAACAAAATTATCAATATTCAGGTTATGCATATCAAACAATAATATCAGAACAAAGGAACAATACTAACATACGACAATAGGAAATGTGGTATTAACTCTCTCGATACAGGCTCGGTCAATATGACCAACCACATGACCTCTTTGTACTCATATAAAGTCTTTATACATTTGATACTACTAACTTTTAATATAGTATGTATATCTTCAAGAAATTTAGCAGTATTTCAGTAAACATATACAAAATATCATATGTATTAGTGAGGTATTTTTAATAAACTAAAAAAAGATCTGTCTGTGAATCTACTGAGTATTTGTTTTGAACAGTCTGTGCACAAAGTGATTTCATGTTAAGATCAAAAATACTTTTCTTCATCTCAAATTTCATATGTGTAATCTCTAAAACCTCCTAAATACAATTCAAATGTTTGTTTTCAGTAAAACCTTTTATTTCATCTGTTATTTTCTGTACCCTACCTAAATAAATCTAAATTACCTATTTTTCTTTCTAGAATGACTTCAAACTGTAACATGAAACATTCATTTATTCTAAGTAGCTTTAAACTTGTAACAGAATACATCTATTTATACTAAGATTTTATTGTTTTATTGCCCTTTGAACCATGTCTAACTACTATTCATGCCATTATAAGTTGTAAATCACTTAGAGAATGTGGAGCTCACATTATGTTATCAGATTACATTATCCACAAGCTGCTTGCGCATTTGCCTCGTGAAACATTTTTATTACATTATTATTATAATTTACTTTACTAATCTAACCCTAACTAACCGAAAGAGGTCCTTGTTTTTACATTTTAGTTAATTTTATAATAATAAATAAAGAATAAATAGGAAAAACAAGAAATAAGTTACTTATCCAAATCTTCAATTTTCTTGCTGTCAACTGTCGAGGACACTTAACCCTACTTTTTTTATACTAATGGTAATAAAGCATTAAATATTTTTATCTAATTAAATATTGCACCAAAGAACATAAAATTATAGCATACAAAATGCAGACAATTTCCTCTTAACTATCACAATTTTTCTGGCTTTCTAACTATACAACAAGAACCATTACAAATTCATCCAAGCTAGTCATTATCTTTCCAGTGGGAATGAAACTTGTACTAAAAGAGAAATTGACAATTCTCTGTTCAGAACACAACATAATATAGTATTTCATTTGATAGATGAACACCTTGGCTTTCTATTGGTTATAGATAGTATAGAATTAAAAGAAAGAGAGGATGTGACAGATGAGTGTGGCAAGAGGGGTCTAATTTTCTATTTGATGGCTCTGTAATGAAACAAAATTGAAGGCTATAAAAATTAGGGTTTGTCTTAGCCATGATGATTTTATAGTGAGTAATTTATGTTACATTTCATACTTACTGGAGGGGAAATTCAGGATTTTTTAAAATATTGCCTTATAAAATTAAGAACTTAAAACTTGTATACTATTAAAACATGGATTATTAGCTACAATTTTATGCTATAACAAACAAAAAGTAAATTAACAAAAGGCACTAAAACCTTGTGACATATGCAGTAAATGATGCCTTTGTACAAGTTATTAAATACCTGTAAGTTAACTAGTTTTAGTGTTGTCTGTATATTAAATTTCAGATGACATGCACCATATCCATTACTTTAAGACTTAAATTAGCTGGGTTAATTAGTGATGACAAATGCTTAGAAATAAAATAGAAGTTCATCAAACTTATTATTTGAAACTATTCAATTGAAAGCAACTGACTGCAGCAAAGAAGCTTTCAATTAACAGAATTATTACACAGAGGACAAAAGGCTGAAATAAGGGTTTTCCCGTATACAAATTCATTAAGTAAAATTATCAAACTGGGAATAAAGTACTTAAGAAAATGAGGGGAAAGGCTAATTCTTCAAACTTAATAAGCTGTACAACCATTACATTACAGAAATATAGTTTTATAATCTCTTTCAACAGATTCCCATAGAAGCTAAAACCTTCCATAGTATTTTTTTTTAAATATTTAGTATGCACATTTGATCCCAAATTAGTTTAAACTGTAATTTTTTGCAATGTTATTACAAAGCTTAAAAAGAAAAATCAGATACTGTACTTTTATATGAAGCAAAATATAAAACTCACTCACTTTGACCAACTAACTAAGAGAGATGTACCAATTCCGCTAACAAGCTTGGCCAATTTTATAACAAAATCAGCATCTTCATCAGCCTGTAAAAAAAGAACCACCATTTTTTTACAACAAATTTGGTATATTCATGTTATTTTAAAAAATAACTACCACAAAACTACCCTTTTATTACTTTGGAAAATTATTTCCAGTGAAACATTGAGCACACTTTAAAAATAAGTACCACAAAAACTACCCTTTTATTACTTTGAAAAATTATTTCCAGTGAAACATTGAGCACCTTTGTTCATCAGTAAAAAGAATTCTAGATCAAAATCAGCATTTTTAGTTACCAATACAAGAAACCTTAAATTAAATAAACACAAAAATTAAAACAATTATACAAGATATGAAACATTGAAGAAAACAGCTGTGACATAGTTGTTAAGTTTTAAAGGGAAATTTTTTATTCAAATCCCAAGATAATTCAATAAGCCTAACTGTATACTTACTGCTTTTTTCCCTGAAAACAATATCCAACTTTATATGATTTGGAAGCAAAATAAAGATATTTACTTGTTAAAAGAAAAAGCTTTTTTCAAAAGAAAATTTCACTTTAATCTTAAGATTAAAGTATTTTCAATACTTTCACTCAATAAACTTTCAATATACTAATGCACTACAACTTCATACTACACAATATTGGTTTTAAAAAATTGATGATGAAACATTTTTTATCATCAAATGCATGGAACAGTTTAAAATGTTTCAGAAATCATTATTCTTCACAATCAAAATTTTATAATGTGAACAGTACTTTATTCTCCATGAAATTTATATATTTTATAAAGATTTTATTATCCCTAAAACCCACATACAAAACAATGAGCTTCATCAAATGTAGGCCTCATAGATAAATCTATTATTTGTGTAAAACTGAATGTAATATAATTTTAGGCAGATAAGCCAGTTTACTATACATAAGTTACTAGAGATTGTTGGTATGATGAATAGTGTTTCAAATGAGCACTTTTTCGGAATATAATTATTTACAATGTTCTTTAATTATACTCTTTTTTAGTTAAGCCTTTCCTTCCTAGAAAATCTAATTATAAAAGCTGCAGTTAACTTTCAGGTTAAACTAAATAACTGTCAGAAAAAAAATCCTCTTGCTAATGATACAAACATATTTTAAATTATAAGCAGCTTTAAATGCTATTAAACAGTAATTCTAATACACCTCTGAAGAGGTCTTGATTTTAAATATAAGCAATAAACATCCTATGTTCTTTACAACAGAATCTTGCTGTTAGTGATCAAAGCTTCAAGCTGGTTTAATTCAGAAATATTTTTCAATGAATACTGTTTAAAAAATCAATTAATCTAAAGACATTTCTTTTTCTTAAACAGATTTTTACACATTTCAAGTTGTACATTAAGTAATATTTTGTTTAAGTACCCAAATTCTGCCATTGAAGGCCTTTGTTTTCACTGAAAATATATCTGTATACTTCAATTTTAAGCTACCAAGTTAAACAATTAATATCTTGATATAATGATACCAATGTAACAGAATTTTAGTTTGAATGGCTAATAACAGCAATAAAGATTTTTTTAACTAAATGCTATGCTACATCCACTTCTAATCTTAAGTTACTAAAGAAAACAGTAAAAGTACAATCACTACTAGGAACTGTAACAAATGTGGGAAGTAACAGAAACTTGATTTTTTTATAATAAATTTAAAAGAAGTAGCTTTATTTATTATGATATTTCTCCTCTTTCAATTTTTTAAATTAGTTTTCTCAGAATTACATACAACTTGTTATATTTTTTCAATCTTTAACAAACCTGTGAAGGGTTCAGTACACCTGCTTGTTCTAGCACAGTAACAAATGATTCCACCAGTTTTGTTTTAGCTGATGGTTCCATTCCCTTGTTGATTATCTCCAGGATACATTCACAAGCTGCTTCTCGGAGCTGTGGTAATGACAAGTACTGAACCAAAATGCTTACGAAGCGGTTGTTAGCTATTAAGCTAATATCAATCCAAGCCACATATGCACCAATTACTTCAAGGCAAAGGCAGGAAAGTTCTGGACTTGAGGTTTGATATGTAGTCTGCAAAATTTAAAATAATCTGATCAAAGAAAAAGCAATAAATACTATTTCATAAAGAATTACTAATAAAAAAATTACAAAATCTGTAGTATTCCTTATCATTTTTTTATCTGTTGCAAACAGTTTATTTCACATGCATCTAAAAAAACTCATTTTTTTACAAAGTAAACCTGAGTAACAAATAAAAAAAAACATACAAATACATAGCAAAATTTCATAATTGTTCAGAAAATACAAATATTCGTTTGTTTCATTTCGTGCAAAACTACGTTAGGGATATCTGCTCTACTGCCCTTAATCTTAAAATGAAAGATTAAAGGTAAACAAGCTACTTAACCCTATCCACTACTAACTGTTAGACTACTCTTGTCAGACCAAATAGCAGGATTTGACATTCACTCTTATAATGCACACCAAGCCCCAAATTGCACAGAATGTATTTTGGGCAGCAACAAGATGTGAACCATGGAAGCTAACCTCCACAGTGTGGCACACTATCCACTGGACCACAATTGAACCCAAAAACTTGTATGTAGAACAGAATAAAATTAACAATCTCTTACTTTAAGTTAAAAAGCATCAAGATTAAAAGTGGTAAAAATAATTCTGATAATTAGTGATACCTTAATAATAATGATTAATATCAGTAAAATGCATCTTTTGAAAGATTCTTTTGACATAGCAGTTTTAGTTGATATACATGCAAGTCTACTGGAACATTACATGTCTGTAATAAAAGGTTATGTTCACCTGCCTGGGATGTAAAGGGGTTGGTGTTTCAATGGTACATTTTATATATTCAGGATGTTTAAAAATCTCTAAAGCTGAACAGAGCAAACAGTATTAAAATGCAACTTGTTTTACTGAAGACTTCAACTTTAACTATCAGTCAAATGATCACAATGAATAAGACATAACTTACCACAATATGAAACCACGAGTCTACTAGCCTCATTATGCTACACTCTCTCACTGTATCCTTTATAAGAGTATTTCTTTCAAGCTCCTGAGAAATTATAATAAAAATACATTATTTTACCACAATAAAAAAAGCACAAGTATTTTGTCTAGTTAAATACTTTGAACATCATTCAAAGATGAACCTTTACGTCATTTCATAAAGTATTACTGTAGAAATCTGCTTTGAAAACAAGTTGTGTTTTACTAATTTTTTTACCATCTCCAACAAAGGAATATCTTAGGAAATCAGAAATATTTTATTGTCTTTCTCTCTCTCTCTCTCTCTCTCTCTATCTACAGAATTATATATTCAACATATTTTGATAATACAAAAATTCTTCAGTAGGTATTACTGAAATTAACAGTTTAAAAATAATAAAAAGCTGTAAACCCTACTAAACGTATTTATTACTCAAACTTTATTTTAAATAAATACACTTACTGTAGATACTAATAACAGCTTTGTCATGTTTGTTACTTATCAATTATCACACTTTACATGCTTTAACTGTCTTTACTGCCATATCAGTGGAAGAAACATAGTCAAACAAAAATGAAACATTCTTTCATATTTGAAATAAAAACACTTGATTTCTCAATTCAAGCTGATAAGTTTTCAGGGCAGTTTTTACATGTAATTCTACAATAATATCTAACTACTATATTTCTTTATATTTTCATTTTTGTATAGTTCAAAGTATCCAATATTTTTCAAGTACTATCTTAGGAAAAAACAATAATAACTAGAGAAAGTTCAAAACTAAATATACCACTAAAAAAAGATAAAATACACTGAATTATGGATGTTATTTTGTTGACAGCTTTAAAAAGATCTTAAACTACAAGGTGGTGTCTAAAAAAACCTCCAGTACCTACTATCTGTCAGTTAATTTGAAGACATAAAAACTAAAAACATAATAGCTTAGAATAAATTTATCAGCAAGAAACACTAAAATTTAATAGGTAAAACTTACTAAAGCTAAACATTAAAAACTAAAAAGGAACAGAAAAGGTCTTATGATAGTTGATATGGCAAAGAATTCAGTGAAGCAGACCACAAGAAGCTCCCAAAAGAAGAGTTTTTGATCAACAATTGTACTGTTACAGCAGAAAACATAGATGACTTATTACTAAAATGACATATGAAAAGCATATGCACTTCATATAGTTGATGATTTTAAGCAATATATCCTTTAATTCTTATGAATTTGAAATAATGGTTGATTTATGGTAAAAACAAGATTACAATTTTGAGTTAAATATATGTACAACTAATTTATTTGGCCAATATTTCTAATGCCAACTTGCTTAAACTATCTTTTCATGGAATTCAAATTTGGCATAAAATTTTCTTTAACTACATCATTGTGGCTAAGCTTGTAAACATAGCATGTCAGAGGCATAATGTTTCAATAATACTAAAGTATAAAAGCATTAAAAAAACAGTAAAGTACTGGATATTTCACTGTAACATACATAAAGGCTAGCAATTAAACTATATATCACAGTGAATGCTCAAAATATTTAGATTCACCAAAGGACCCCCTGAACAACAGCAAACATTTTTGTAATCCTTACTTAATATGAAACTGTAAAACTGTTATAAAATGACCCAAACAATATCTACTTAAGTTCAAAATACGTAAGGTTATTGTTGTTAGAATACTAAATATTATACATAAGTATACATAAGAAATTAAAAGTAGAAGACTTTTTACTGCATTACAGTTTATATTCTATTCCATTTATAGCAGTAATTAATTTAAGTGTACAGTATTGTGTGCACTATTTACTTCAAATCTTTTCATGTAAACAGCTATCTTAATGTGTAGTGTGTGTGTGTTTCATCAATTACAGATAAATAAGAAAATTGTTTGTTTGCTTGTTATTAAGCACAAACCTAGACATTAAGCTGTCTTTGATGTGTCCACTACAGCTATCAAAACCCAGTTTCTAGCATTATGTGTCTTCAAACGTATGACTCGGGGGGATGGGTAAAAAGAAGCTATGTGGTTACATATCTCTTCACATTCTTTGTGAAACAATATGAAGTTGAGCAAAAAGTAACCTCAGCACAAAGAAAATGGGTTTTCCAGTTTTTTTTGAAAATTAACATTTTCTTGCACTGAAAATTTATTTCCAATAGGTACTTACCTCCACTTGTGTGCCCTCTAAGCATTGCTACACAAATTTTTAGTAATCAGTGCATCAGTCTTTATACCCCACCAGTTTCGTGTCATTTCTGAACATGTTCATATTATGTGACTACTTTTCACCAATAGTATTGTGCCACCTATAGCAGTGCAGCTAGCTCCCTCTGCTATTCCTGCTAAATTTTCAAGAATTGGCAGGTACTAGAATAAAAACATCAGTTTTAGTGGGGAGGAAAGGTGAGAAGGGTGTAGGAAATACATTTTCAATGTAAGAAAATGTTAACTTACCTCCTCTCACACAAAAGCTAGTGGAAAGCAACTGCCCAGAATGAATGGCTGTGCTCTGGAATGAAAAGGAAGCACATCTGTGGGGTACCAGATTACTTCTGGAACAGGTATGCTCTTTGCCCAGGAATGAGCAAAGGAACACCAAATGGGCATCAAAGGTAGTGCTTGCATGATTGTAAAAGCGTTAAGAACATGCATTCTGTAGAAAGAAATAACGAGAAAAAAAAAATGTCATAACAACAACAACCCCAACCATAATTAAACAAAGTGTGGTACGTCAAGCAACCAGATTTACAAAGAAAAAGTGAGAAATTGCCATAACCAAACAAACTCCAAAACTACCCTCTTCTCACTGAGTGGATAAACGAGCATAAGTATAGTAACATGGAATTACACTAAGGAGGAAGCCTACATGGTCCACAAGCCCAGCAACTGGGAACTGAGAGTGGTAAGGACTCCTATGCTCCACTAGAAGAAGGGAGGATTACACTGAGATTCAAATAAGCAAAGCCAAGGAATGGAAAGGACAGGGGAAGACAAAACCAAGAAGAAACAGAAGGAGATAGACAAGCCCACCAAAGAGCTGGACAAACCACCAGGTGAAGAATAAGGAAAGAAAAGGAAGGAAGGACAGAAACCATGTTGATGAGACTAAAGTCTGAGGAATACTAACATCTGTGGGAAATGGGCATGGAAGAAGGTATCATGGATTGGGAAGGGAGGATACAAAAAGTGGAGTCAGACCCTGGGCTGAGACAATGGACAAGACAAAACCATACGTAATGAGAATCTTGATGGAAGATAATCAAACCACCACCAAATGGAAGGAGCTGGGGAAAAGGCAAGCAAAGAACACAATGTGATGACAGTGGGTTTAGAAAAGAGACACAGGATCTGAAAGCACAGAGACCAGGAATCAGTACCCCTTAGCTCAGTGATATAAGTTACCACAGTGGAGATGTGGGAATGTACCATAACCACCACCACCCCCATAGGAGAGGAAAAAGGTGGGACAAGGTTTGATGAACAGCCAAAGCCTCAAGAAAGGTGATATGGAGAAAGACTCCTTGTTTGACCAGATACCGGGAGTCGTGGTAAGAACATCAGCCCCCTAAAGAGGAGTGTAGAAACAGATGTAAATTCAGACGAGGTGCAGTAAGCAGTACCCCCGCCATGATCTGGACCATGTTCAACCACCAAGCCTGGAATCTGAGAAGAAGTTCCACTAATCAAGGAGTGTTCATCGAGGGAAACGCATATGAGTCCAACTCATGGGAACGAGAGCTTCCAAGGGAGTCCACATCCCCAAAGAGATAGAACATATCATGCCGCAAGAAAGATGGGGTACACATGAACTGCTTGCTCCAAACCTGAGGACAAGGAGGAGGAGAGGGCTGGGTACCAACTGTGGTTGGAAAGAAGAACCACCCCAAAGGAAGAGGGTACTGAGAGAGGGGTCAAAATTGACTTGCCCCTTGTCATAAGGAAACCAATCTGTTCTGCATCTTGTAGGAGCAAAGGAGTGTGGACTCTGGACTGAGAATGGGAGGAAACAAGTAGGAGCCAGTCAAACCATAGAAAGAAAAATGCAAGATGCATAGAATAAAAAGGCAAAATTTTGTATTCCCTGATAAAACATGTAAAGAGCTGTCTTCAATCATGAACATAGGAAAAGGAACCAAAGCTAAGTAGCAAAATTTTCCTAGTCCATAATGAATGTACCAACTGACAGAAGTTCCCGAGAAAACACAATAATACGTAATATCTATGGTACCAGACAGAGAAAGTAACGCAGATGATAATGACACAGAATTAAGACCTACACTGCCTAGAATTTGGAGGAGAAGGTACATACATAACAATGATGAAAAATTTATTCAAAGAGAACAAAGAATTATTTGTTACTAGTAGTAATGATGTGGAAGGTACAAACTAACCAAACATACCCAATTAACAAAGTACTTATATATGAAATGGGAAAAGTATCTAATAAAAATGAACATGTAAAGAGACAAAAATTACCAAGAAATCACATAAATAATCAATATCTCACGTACCATTCCACAAAATTACCAATACGAAAAAGGACATGTAATGAAGTCCGACACTGACATAAACTGGGATGAGAAGGCATATAGTAAACAAAGAATACAAACAGAACAATGAATTATATGTTACTAGTAGTAATGACAACTAAGGTACAAACTATCGAAACATACCAAGTTAATAAAGTATTTCTTCATACGAAAGGGACAAACCATTTAAATCTACCTAGTCCACAAAATATGAAATAATAACAAAAGAGCAAACTGACAAAAATTACTTAGAAAACACATGAATAAGCAATAACTAACAAAATGCATAAAATTAATGAACACGTGTAATGATTAAATTTACCGGAAATTACAAAGTAATAATCAATATCTAACGTACAATTAAACTAAAATAATGTAGGTAACAAAGTACACCTAAATATCTAACTTACCAAAGTCCAAGCACTGGTGACATGAAATACACCCAGTGTGTAAAGAAGGGCATCAGAACTGGGCCTACCACAGGTATATCAATCTGGTGTGAAGTGTACATGTTGAAAAACTTACGACAAATCTACTGGGAGAACTTGAAGCTAGAGGAAGAAAGGAGGAGAAGAACAAGTCTCCTCCAGTTGAAAGACGTGGCGGCCGGCAACTGCAGGAAGGTGCCTGAAAAAGGAGAGACCAAAGTGGCAACTCAATGAGTGTCTTCTTCCTCAGAAACAGTGTCATGTTGAAAAGAAGAAGAAAACACCAGCTGAACATAAGACTCTAACTCCCTGTAAACCAAGGCATTACTTCATCAGTGGATAAAGTCAACCTTGTGTCCTGGTAAGTCGTGCTATTGTCACCTCTTGAGATAATATCATTGTCCACCACAGGAAACACCGAATTCATATTAAAACATGTAGAATGTGGGAAAAAGAAAATTTCGAATGCAAATTCGTGAAAACAAATGAAATCAAACACGAAAATTAGAAGACGATGAATAAACTTCGTCAGAAATGGCAACAAAACACTAACAAAAACTGTAGTCACAATCGAAAAAATTAAACCCACATCTAAACTGTGTCATGCCAATCAAGAAAGTGGAGATTGAGCAGAAATAGCAGAGGGAGCTAGCTGCACCACTATAGGTGGCACAATACTATTGGTGGAGAGTAATCACATAATATGTACATGTTCAGAAATGGCACGAAACTGGTGGGGTACAAGGACTGGTGCACTGATTACTAAAAATTATATTAGCTGTGATTAGAGGGTAGACAAAAATTGAGGTAGCTGATTACTAAAAATTATATTAGCTGTGATTAGAGGGTAGACAAAAATCGAGATAGCTTTTGTGTGAGAAGAGGTAAGTCCATTTTGGAATAAGATTTTCTACAATACATTTTTGATTATCTGAGCTTTGTTTCAGTCCTGATTAAACTACAGCAAAATACTAAATATGTTATTACAGAAATCAAAAATATATTTTTTATTTGTAAGTATTTCACAATGAATTAAGAACAATCCTGCTAATCAATTTTGTATACATATACAAACACACATATATATATATATATATTTATATATCAGTACAGCTTTTGGTCAATAAACATGTGTAATTATTTTCATAAAGAAAAAATACAACAAATTACATTTCTAAAAATAATTTCATGTTACCAGTTAAGCATTGAAAGATGAAAGGCCATGTCATCTTGTTTGGTGACTCAAATTC